CATACAAGATCATAAGTTGATCTTTTCCCACTCACCCACACTCCCTTGCTTTCCTTCTTAGGGTTGACAGTCTGTTCTGTGCTTCTATGAGTTTGGATCTATTTTAGATGAGATTAACATTTAAGTCAGTAGACTGTGAGTAAATCAGATTGCCCTCCATAATCTGGGTGGACCACATCCATTCAGTTAAAGACCTTAAGAGAAAAAAGACCGACTTCCTCTTCTGTGGAAGAGGGAATTCTTCCAAACTGTCTTTTTAAATTTTATTTTATTTTTAGCGAGAGTGGAAGAGAGAGGGAAAGACAGAGAGAAACACATTGATTGGTTGCCTCCTGTATGCTCCCTGACCAGGGCTCACGCCGGGGAGGAGCCTGCAACCAAGATACGTGCCCTTGACCAAAATCAAACTGTGACCCTTTGCTCCGAAGGCTGATGCTCTATCCACTGAGCCAAACTGGCTAGTGCCTAAACTGCCTTTAGACTTGGACTTCAGATGCAACATCAATTCTTCCCTGGGTTTTCAGCCTACTGGCCTGCCCTGTGGATTTTGAAGTTTCCAGCCTCCACTAATCTCATGAGCTCATGCCTTATAATAATTCGTTCCTCTCCCCCCTTTCTGCCTTTCTCTCTCTCTCTCTCACTTGTTCTCTCCCTCCTGCCCTCTCTTCTTCTCTCCTCCCCTCTCTCCTTCCCTCTCTCCCTCCTCTTCCCCCTCTCGGCTTTCCTCCCTCCTATTGATTCTGCTTCTCTGAAGAAACTGGACTAAAACTAGTGGTTAATGAAAAATGTCTGTTAAGTCCTTGAGTATGCCCTAGGAATAAGTTTCACTAACTTTCTCCTTTGAGATTTAATATAAATGAGTTAATGTCCTTAAATTTTCTTCCATTTGTACCTTATAGAGATACTGGGAAAACAAGTCAGGTATCAAGCAAAAACAGATAATATTTTCAAACTGGGTAGAGAGTTCCCAGATAGCTTTAATTGTTTATGGTCATTGTTATAATTTTACTTACCTGGCAGCACTCTTAGACATCTGTTTCTCATGGTGCAGATGCAAGTCCAGCCACTGAGGATTCCTGATCTCGGTCTGTGGGTGTTAAAAAACCCTTTCTATTTGAAGTATATATTGTGTTCTAGAGGAAGTGACTTAAGAAACTGTTGATCTGAATTTTTTCTTTCCCATAATCTGCCCAATAATTAACTTCTCAGGAACTCCAGTTCTTCTTTTTAAAAATTTACACAGTATTTTAAGTCTGTACAGGAAGCCTCTTTGAGGGTGATTTTTTAATATTTTTTACAGAGGAAAATGTGATACTGTGCATTCAAAGACCTCCCCAAATGAAGAATCACTCTACTAGTCTTTTTGCCCCTATAGGACCTTAGGTCAGAGTGAACAGAATATCTCTTTATTATCTATTAATAGATATTTTATTGAGGTATAATTGACCTACATAATATACTTCCAGATGTACAACATCATAATTCAATAACTGTATACACTGGGAAATGATCATCAGAATGTCTAGTTATCATTCATCACCATGTATAATTATAATTTTTTGGTGAAAAGAACTTTTAAGTTCTACTTTTTAGCAACTTTTAAATATGCAATACTTTATTACTGACTGTAGTCACAATGCTGTACATTACATGCCCTGGCTTATTTATTTTGTAACTGGAAGTTTACATCTTTTTACTCCATTTAACTATTCCCCCCCTTCACCCCCCAACTCTGGCAGTAACTGATCTGTGCTCTGTATCTATGAACTATTTTTTAAAATTTTTATTTCCCATATAAGTGAGATCACATGATATTTGACTTTCTCTGTCTGATTTATTTTTCTAGGCATAGTGACCCTCCATCTCCATCCATGTTGTCATCAATAGCAACACTTCATTCTTTTTTTTAATGGCGAAATCAGACAGTCAAACCTCAGAGGGAAGGTAGGCGAGGGTTGGAGTAAGGGGGAGAGATCAACCAAAGGACTTATATGCAAGCATATAGGCCTAACCAATGGACACAGACAACAGGCGGGTGAGGGCATGAGTGGGGTAAATGGGGGTTAACATGGGGATAAGGACACATATGTAATTACTTAATCAATAAAAAAATTAAAAAAATTCTCATTCATGAATAGGCAATTAGACTGTTTCCATATCTTGGCTGTTGTAAATAATATTGCAATTAACATTAGGATATATATTTCTTTTTGAGTTCGTATTTTCTTCGGAAAAATACCCAGAGATTAAATTGCTAGTTCATATGGTAATTTTATTGTAATTTTTTAAGGGACCTTCAAAAGTTACTGTCTTGTTGCTATTTTAAAATACATATAGGTTCACAGGAAGTTGGAGAAACAATGCTGAGGTTCTGTGTACCCTTCACCCAGGTTCTTGGAAAGATGACACTTTTATGTAATGATAGTCATATACTTAAGCCAAGAAATTGGGATTGGTACAATGTGTGTGTATAGTTCTGTGACATTTTATCACATGTGTAGATTCCTATAACTGCCACTGCAATCAAGATACATAAAGACTCAATCACCACAAAGATCTCCTCCATGTTACCCAACACCCCTAACCCTACCTGGTCTAAAACTAGGTATTTTTCATTCTTTAACAATACTCAATACAGTATTAGATTCATACTTATTGATACAAGAAAATACTCCTGATATATTTTATAAATAAGAAAAACATACCCCCTCTCACATTTCCTGTAGTCTGTGTGATGGAATTATATTAATTTCTCTGTTTACACTTTTTATCCTTTATTTTATCTATGTGTCCATGTCTGTTAGTTGTCCAGAGCTGCTATAACAACATAAAACAGACTGGACAACTTAAACAATAGATATTTATTTTCTCACAGTTCTGGAGGCTAAATGTACAAGATGTAGGTGATGGCAGGATCTCTGGTGTCTCTTTTTCTCCTTTAAGAACATCAATTCTATGGGATTAGGACCTCATTTACCTTTACTCCTAAAAGACCATATCTCCATATATGATATGGTCACAGAGGGTTAGGGTTTCAACATATAAATTTTATGGGGGCACAATTTATTCTAAAATAACATATGCTATTTAACATTGATAAAAATTAAGAAAAGGGTAAATTTTATAAAAAAAGTATTGATTTCCATTTAATTCCTGAAGAATATTTTTTCTGGATATAGAATTTAGTTTTCAGAAATTTGATTTTGATGTACCTTGGCCTAGATTGCTTTGAGTTTATGCTGTGTGAAGTTTCCTCAGCTTTTTTGAATGTATATGTTTTTGTCAAAGTTGAGAAATTTTTATCCATTTTTCCTCTGAATGATTTTTCAGTTCCATGTTCTCTATTTCCCTGTAGAATTCAATAACTGAAATATTAAATTTTGTTATAGTTCCATAGGTCCCAAAATCTCACTTCACTTTTTTTGTAATGTATTTTTTGTCTCTTGTACATATTGGGTAAGTTATATGGTTCTGTCTTTAAGTTCATTGATTAACCCCCTTTTGTCTTCATTTTGCTATTAAGTCCATTCATTAGAGTTTTCTTTTTAAAATCTTATTTTGATTGTTCAATTACAGTGGCATACAATATTACATTATTTTCAGGTGTACACCCCAGTGATTACACATTATATAACTTACTAAATAATGATCCCAATAAATCTCACACCCATATGACACCATACATAGTTGTCAATATATTTTTGACTATATTCCCTATGCTGTTCTTTGCATCCCTATGAATATTCTGTAACTACCAATTTGTATTTCTAAATCCCTTCTCCTTTTTCACCCATCCCCCAAACCCTTTCCCATCTGGTGACCATCAAAATATTCTCTGTATCTATGAGTTGGTTTCTGTTCTACTTGTTTTTTTATTTTAATTTTTAGATTTAGTTGTTGATAGATATCTATTTATTACCATTTTATTTTTCGTATTTTAGATCCTCCCTTTCTTCTCAAAGTAAACCCTTTAACATTTCATGTATTACTTGTTTGGTGGTGATAAACTCCTTTAGTTTTTTCTTGTCTGGGAAGCTCTTTATCTCTCCAGTTCTAAATTATAGCTTTGAGTAATTTTTCATTTTGGTTTGAGAGATTTTAGGAAAGTTGAAGCATGAGGCAAGAAAGGCCAGTTGTATGGAAAAGCTCCTGGAAATGGCTTGGATTGGTTGGCAAATTGGGTGGGGCAGGGTCTCAGGGAATCACCAGGGCAGGTGAAGAGTGTGAACCACATTGATTGAGACTCAGATATGGTGCTGGCCTGCCTGCTCTGTGTGGGTGTGTGGGTGTCTCAGAAAAGGAACAATGGCTAATGCCAGCACTTCTGTTTGGGAGAAAGCTGTCCCTGCAGCTCTTGCCCTGATCCCAGGAAATTCAGTTCTTCCCTGTATTCTCTGGTTTCTTTCAAGCTGCTGCCCCAGAACTGTAGCTCAGAGGGAGTGAATCCAAGTAAGGCTGTGCATGGGCTCTTTAGAAGGAATGCCTGAAACTTCTGGAACTTCTGCCTTACACAGCCAAAATTCCTATTAGTTTCATAGCCAGAAGTTATGAGGGCTTCTATTCATGGCTAAGGAACCCTGGTCTGGGAGGGTCCTCAGCTGGGGCCTCTGCAGCCAAGATATACCTCCCATTTTTAAACCATCACTGGTGGGTGTGGGACCAGCCCATTCCATGTCTCTGCCACTCCTACCAGTCTCAATGTGGTTTTCTTCTTTAAATCCCTAGATGCTGGACTTCCATTCAGCCTGATTTCAGGCAGTTCTGAATCATGATTGTTCTGTAGTTTAGTTGTACTTTTGATGTGGTTGTGAGAGGGATTCAAGTACCACATTTACTTACACTGCCATTTTGACTGGAAGCCCAGTAGAGCTTTCACTTAAGTTATTGTGTTTTTTAGGTCTAAAAATTTCCATTTTGGTCTTCATTGTATCACCTGTTTATTTGTCAAAGATATATATATATATCTCCTATCTAATAATAGACAAAGATGGCAATCGACCATACCTTTGCTACGCCTCCCATTGGCTAATCAGCATGATATGCAAATTAACCGCCAACAAAGATGATGGCTAATTTGCATATACCGGGTGGGAGCGAAGACTGAAGACACTGTAGAAGGAAGCCAAGCAACGGAGCCAAGGTAGCGGAGATGGGCGGGAGAGAAGCTGCAGAGAAGGGCAGGGTAGCCGGCAGAGATGGGCGGGTTAGAAGCGCAGAGAAGGGTGGACTAGGAGTGGAAGATGGGAGTGAAGCCCTATTCTTTCAGGAATCTTCCTGTATATATATTTTTTTCTTTTTTTTGCTGAGATTTTCTACTTTTTCATTTGTTTCAAAAAGTTTGTTTGCTATTTCTCATTGAAACATTTTTTTATGATGGCTGCTTTAAAATACTTGTCAAATAATTCTAATTTGTGTCATCTAAAGTTGATTAGTCCTTGGTTCTTGATATCATAATGATTTTTTAAAGTTGTATATGGATATTTAAGGCATTATGTTTTAAATCTATGGATTTTAATAAAATCTTGTTTTGGAAGGCTACTCTGACATCATGGCAAGGGGGAAAAGGGCTGTCTTCTTGTTGCTGGAACTGAGGGTGAAATCCAGATTCCCCACCTGGGTCCACTGACACTCCAGTGGGGGAGGGATACCTTGTTAGTGCTGGGTGGAGTTAGAAGCTCTCCCTCACAATCTTGCTGACACCACCCTTTCTTGGGGTTATAAGGAGGCCTTGTAAAATGCTCCCCACATGGCCTCTACTGACATGACTGAGAGGAGCTCCTTACTATTGGGTGTGATGAAAGTCCCAGTTGCTTCTCTGCTACAAGCCCATTGGGGTAAGGGGGAGTGTTTCATTACGGGTGGGTAAGGGTAGAGCTCTGGACTTCTCACTTGACCTTTGCTGATGAGGATAAGGGTTTGGCCAGTTTTTCTCTGTGGTGTTTGGTTGGAGTAGGGCAGTGACTATTGAAGTACTATTTTATATTTTGCTAAGCTTTCCCTTTCTTCTTTGGTGAGGGAAAGAAGATACAATCTAGCTGCCCCTT